GAGAGCTCTGCTGCTCGGGCTGCATATTTGCATGTTGGTATGTGTGAGGCAGCACACAGTGCAGGCTCAGCTAGGCAAATACAGCCAAGCCCATAATTATAACACACGGTCACATCTCAAGTTCCAGTGGCTGCAGTTTCCACGGATGCATCTCAAGGAGGACGCCACCTCTCCAGAGAAGGCGCACAAATACCCGCTTGGCCTTTGCAAATGCTCATCTGGACAAAGAAGAGGACGTCTGGTCTTCTGTGTTTTGGTCGGAGGAAGAAAAAATTTAATTGTTTAGTAACGATGAGGTTTCTTTAATTGAACCCAAAGAACACCATCCCCACTGTCGAACATGCAGGTGGGAACCAAATCACAGTGAACGGCACCATGAACGAAGATTCTCAACAACAACATCAGGCAGTCTGCAGAGAGACTTGGCCTCAGGCACCAGCAGACATTTCACAGCAAAACCAACAGTTAGCAGACAAAACCATTAACGCTGTGAAGCAGCCCGGCCAGAGTCCTGACTCCAACCCAACTGAGACTCTGTGGACAGGCTAAAGGGCGAGGAGACCCTCCAAACTGAGCTCACTGCTAAAGACGAATGAGCAAAAATACCTGTGGAGACGTGCGAAACACTGATCTGAGTTTGCCAATAAAGGCTTTTCTAAGAAGACTATGAATCATTTTGGATGTGACACTTTTTGCTGAAATGTAAATAAAAGCTGAGAAACCTCTTGGACATAGTCTTAGTATCTTTTGAGAGACTCCCGCATCACAAAAAACAAAATAAAAAACTGTGGGCTTGAGTGTATCTACACTAATGGTTCAGACAACAGGTGAGCTCAGGTCCCAGGATGTGTAGTGAACACCTGCACAGACTTTCTGTGACTGCTTGGCTGATTCTGGTTCATTCACTGCAGTGATGAGAGCCTCACACGTGGACGCACGATTCACAGTCAGATATTTGAAGCTGGAGATCTTTATCTGTACTGAGCGCAGCTCTCGGCTGTTGCGCCGATGCAGTGCGAAGGCTGTTCGCCTCTGAGTCATAACACCTTGTTTTTGATGGTTTGTGGTGAGCTCACACGTGAGCTCACACGCTGCTGCAGCATGTGCACAACGCAGTTCCTGGAAAGCCGAGTACTCGTCTTACCCTCCTTATCGGGGCAGAACTCCGTCTGCGCCCACTCCGAGTGCTGCCCGTCCACGGTGGCTCGCACCTGGAGCACGAAGATGCCCAGGTAGTGCAGGTTGAACCGTGTGAGGTCACATGACCGGTGTGACGTCTGGTTGCACGCCGTGATCCAGTTTGTCTTCTTCTTCTTAGACTTCAGCTGGTACCTCCTGAGGATACGAGAACATGAAAACACATTAGTGGAAGGAGGGCTTTTATTGAATAAAATGTAATTACAACAGCAACACACCAGCCGTGTCTCAATAAACGTGTGTGTTTCATCGGTCGGGGCTGGGAGGTTAACGCCTGTGGAAGCAGGATGATGGGGACGAGGGAGGAAAACTGCGAAGAGGAAGGCTGCTCCACGGCTCTCTGA